GTGAGGGAGAGGGAGAGGGATCTGCCAGAAGGTTTTAATAGAATGGTTGATTACCTAAGACCTCTCGTGAAAAATCTAGAAGAAATTATGGAGAATGCAGTCCAGAGAGATGAAAAACGTGGAAGAAAGTTTTTTTTAATGGTCCATATTAAATGGGCCAGATTTAATAGCTTTCTTTCTTTCTTTCTTTCCTGCGTTGTGTCTTCGTTGCTGCACAGGCTTTCTCTAGCTGCGGTGAGCAGGGGCTACTCTTCGTTGTGGTGCGTGGGCTTCTCAGTGTGGTGGCTTCTCTTATTGTGGAGCATGGGCTCTAGGTGCATGGGCTTCAGTAGTTGTGGCACTAGGGCTCAGTAGTTGTGGCGCACGGGCTAAGTTGCTCCATGGCATGATGGGATCTTCCTGGACCAGGGCTCGAACCTGTGTCTCCTGAGTTAGCAGGCGGATTCTTAACCACTGCGCCACCAGAGAAGTCCCAAAAGATTTTAAAATGTGCAGAACAGCACAAGAAGTTCCACAGAGGATAGAGTGAATTCGAGACAGAGCTAGGAAAGAAAAGGGGAAGAGGTAATCTTCAAAGAGAAAGTATTTTATAATTATCCAGAATCGTTGAAAAGACGCCAGTTTCAGACCCTGGCACTGAGTGAATCACTGGAATGACAAATAAGCAGGGATCCATGACTGGGGCTCTCAGATATGAGCGTGCCGATACGAGACAGCAATTTTCTTCTTCTACTCTTGGAGAGCATACAAAAGCAACAAGGAGAAGGAAAATAACTCCATTTTCAGCAAAACAAGGAGACAGATATAATCTGCAGGCTCAAAATACACATAAGGGCTGCCAAAAGCAACTGTGAGTGCCCTAGGAGCTGCAAGTATTGAAGGGTGGCAGAAGTCACCTGCGGGGAAGGAACAGCAAGACAGGCAGCGAGAGTCACGGCTTGATGGGAGCCGAGTGCAGAAAGTGCCGGCAAAAATCCACCCCCAGAACGAACCCAGGACTCGGACAAGGACATGTGAGCCAGCAAAACTCAGAAAACGAATAGAAAACAACCAAAAACATCACAGGAAGGAAGACCACATGAAAGGAAGCCCAAGGGACATTAGACTCTGCAGACAATCCAGTGAGAGGCACAGAAATAAGAAAAGCGACCAAAATAAGATGGAAATAAAGATCCAAAAAGGATCAGGGAGAAAATGACAGATATAGAAGAAAACCAAGGAGAATTATTAAGGTCATAAATGGAGACCCCAAAGTAGAAAACCTGAACAATGGAACAGAATATTTAAAAATATAATTTAAAAAAACTCACATGGGAAAAGGATAGTCCTTTTTACAAATGGTGCTTGAAACATTGGATACCCATATGACGATTAATTCAAAATGAATCATAGAGCTAAATGTAAGAATTAAAACTAAAACATTTTAGAAGAAAGAATTGGAGAAAATCTTCATGATCCTGCGTTGGGCAAAGAGTTCTTAGGTATGACACGATAAAAGAAAAAAAAAAAATTGAACTTCCGCCAGTTGAAAATGTTTGCACTTCAAAAGACACCATTAAGGGCTTCCCTGGTGGCGCAGTGGTTGAGAGTCCGCCTGCCGATGCAGGGGACATGGGTTCGTGCCCCGGCCTGGGAAGATCCCACATGCCGCGGAGCAGCTGGGCCCGTGGGCCATGGCTGCCGAGCCTGCGCGTCCGGAGCCTGTGCTCCGCCAACGGCAGAGGCCACAACAGTGAGAGGCCCGTGTACCGCAAAAAAAAAAAAAAAAAACAGGCAGACAAGGGGGATGCATGGAAAGCCCTCCATGGGTGATGAGAGGGTGAAGCTGACAAAGATGAAAGTGAGATAGTGTTCCTCTAGAGCAGTGGTTCTCAAACTTTAGCACGCATGCCAGTCACCTGGAGGGCTTGTTGAAACGCAGATTGCTGTTCTGTTTTCTGCTTCTGTAGGTGTGGGGTGAAGCCAAGAATATGCATTTCTATCAGTTGCCAGGTGACGTTGATGGGGCTGGCCTAGGGACTGCACTTCGAGAAACTTATAGTGCCCCATAGAAGTGTCCAATGAGTATACATTGGATGAAAGGATGGATGGGTGGTTCGTTGGATGACTGGGTTAGTGGATGGTGGTAGTTGAATGGATGAATGTGTGGATAAGTGGATTCAAGGATGGATGGAAGGTGGGCAGATGGTAGCCACATGGCTGGATGGGGGTGGTTCAGAGTAGCAGGAAAGAAGATGAGGTTGGGAAGCTGTGGTGTGGAATGTAGTGTAGAGAAGGACTTGAAGTCAAAACCTAGTTTCAGTTCTTGTCGTGGGTTCACCACCTACTAGCTAGCTGTGCAATGTTGGCAGGTAACTTCACCTCCCTGAAGCTCACTTTCCTCACGTCTAAATGTGGGTTAACAATGCCTATGAATGTACCGTGAGCTAATACCATTAAAAGGGCCAACACGGAGCCCGGCATGCACTGGCTGCTCTCAACTCTTTTGTTGGATCTGACTCTTACCATCATATATCACTTGGCTGTACTGTGTGGTGGAGACGAGAGGCTTGTAACTCAGGTCCGTCTTGTTTCCATAGTGACCAATGCTGACCTCGAATTGTATCGGGTCCTTAAAGTTGGGCATCATGGTACAGGAAAGGAAGATGACGCACAGTCCATACTTCTGGCGGTTCTGGTGCTTCTAAAACAATAACCCGCCACATCCCCAGTACGTAAGCCAAGGGATGAACAAGGCTATAGAGACAGGCAGGGAGGCAAGCATGAGGTGCCCAGTTTCTTTCAAAAGCTACCTTTGCTTCTATTCAGGGTGACCTAGACCATCACTGAACCCCTGCCCCCTCTCAAAATCCTGCCTTGACTCCCACTCACCTGGCTGATCAAGGGAAGTTCCTCCCAGGACTTCCGTCACCTGGCCCCCTCCACCCAGCCGGCCCTGGTTCCTCCTCTTCCTGAAATCAGGCAGGAGGGTCTTCTCCCTGGTCAGGCTAGACTCTGAGTTGGGCCACCCCCACCCCTCTCCGTTTTGCCTAAATGCCCCCCATCGGATGAGACCGAGTGTGGGCAGGGGTGCGTGGTGGAGGATGCATACACACACACATCTGCTCTTGGCTTTTGTCAAACCCCATCCTCCCACCGCGAGTCCGTCTGCTCAGGTCCTCTATCCATCATGTGAGCCCCTCTCTCATTTCCACTGTCTACCTCTGCCCTACTTATGCATTCTCCCAGTCTGCTCACTAGCTCAAGTCTCCCCCTCTTAAAAAATAACCCTCCTTCTCCCGTCTGAGCCACTATCTAGCTGTAACCTGATCTTATCTCCTTCAACTTTGCAGCCAAGTTTCTATGCACTTGCCTCTATGCACCGTCTGTAACTTCTCCCTCCCGCCCACGGCAGCCTGGCTTCTCTCCTGACCCAAGGCTACTGGTGTCTTCCTAATAACCAGCGCACGCTTTTGGGTCCTCAGCCCTTCTCTCCTCCACATTCAGATCGCTGCTCGCTCCTTTCTGCACCTCTCCCCTCCGGAGGCTGCCTCAGTTCTCCGCTTTGCAGACTCCCCCTCCGTCTCTCTGCAGAGTCACCCTCCTCCTCCTCCAGTCTCATAGGCTGTGCTTCCTGATGGGCTCCAGCCTCAGCCCCCTTCTCCTTTCACTCCACCTACTCCCCAGGGCAATTCCTCCAGAACCTTGGATAGATCCTTGGATGTGTGTTGATGACACATCTGGCTGTCTAGCAGCCTTGGGGACTGGTCTTCGCGGGTGTCTCACAAGCACACGTCAAAGGTGGGACTCATCATCTCCCCCAGACCTGTTCCTCCTTTGGGGAGCCCATGTTGATATATGCCCCCCACCTTCCCACCTCGCCACCTGAGGCAGAAAATGGGAGTCAGCCTCACTTCTTAGTGTCCTGTCGGTCAGTGGCTCTGATCGTTGTTTCCAGAGGGTCTCTGGCACCTGCTCCCTCCTCTCCAGTTCTCCTCCCCTGTAACTGTGTCCCCATTCCTCCTAAGTGGGTGGCCCAATTTACTCCCTTCCAGTCTATTCCTGACTCTGTTCCTCCTGCCCCTTCCTGCCTCAGTGACCCTCCTTAGCCTTCAGGAAGAAATCCAGGCTCCTTAGAACATCATTTCTCCTTAAATGGGTTACACATCTCTTAAACTGAAGCCTTGTCTTTACTGGGTCCCCTAACCTCCTGGGATTGGCACGGCAGGAAGCCCCCGTAGGGGCTTAGCAAAGACTCAGGTGGATCGACCAAACATCCTCACACATCCAAAAAGCTCATTCCACTGCTGGCCAGGGCCTCTTGCAATGTCAGAAACAGGACCCACAGCAGACCAGGGGCAGGCAGAGGAGCTCCTTCTTCCTGTGGTTACCTCTACGCTGATCACATCTTGGGAGAGATCCTTCATCGTAGCATCTTGATGGGACTTGACGTGGGTGATTAACTCCAGGAAGACTCGACCTCGATAAGCTAAACCATCCTTAACAATGTTGGGAATAGTCTAGTGTGACAGGAAGGAAAACGGCGAGAAAAGGGATGAGAGAAAAAAAAAACAACAACCAGGAAAGTCTCCCCTGAAACCTCTGAAGGAAGGACAGGGTTGTCCTGTAACTTCCTACCTAGGGCTGACCACAGTCCCAGGGAGGAATTCCAGAAACTCCAGTCACGGCCATGCCTGGAAACCTCTGGGCCCTGAGCCATCTTCTACACCCTTAGGTCCACTCTTCCCCTTCATGCAGTTCTACCTGCTGGCCCACCTGAAGGGCCCTGTTCCTGGTAAACCCTTCATGCTTGGAGGGGACCGTGGTACCTATTGAATTATCCCAGCCTGGCCAATCAGGACAGGCCCTGCCTCCTCAGCAACAGTGATTGGTCAAAGGGGAGCACACATGACCTAGGAAGGCCAATTAGAATGCTTCCCTGGCCTTCCCTAGTAGAGGCTTCTATGGTCCCCTTCCCAGCAGGGAGGCAAGGCTGCAGTAGGAATGAATGAGGCCCAGGAAAGAGCAGGAGAGATGAGAGATGGAGTGAGCATGGGAGAGTCTCCTAACGGCATTGAGGTCCTGGTTTCTGCAGCCCTTCCTCACTCAGATTCCTTCCCAGCCCCATTCCCTTCTTTTGCCAATTGGCTTTCTGGCATTTACCACCAGTCTTGAATAACCCAGTGCTTTTCCACATTTACCTGTGCTGTTTCTTTTGTTGCCTATGACGTTCCACCTGCCGAAACTCTTACCTGAGGTCTCATCTCAACGTCCCTTCCTCAGTGACTGCCCAGAGCACTCCATCTGTTCCTTTCTTGGGCCACAGCACATGCCCCGTATTTATATGGCCATTTACGTACAGCCTTCAAGTCCTCTACTGGAGTGTGGTGGACAGAAACCAGGGCCTGGCCCTCCCCAGGCAGTCCCCAGGCCCCGGTGCCTTACACATGGTTGGTCTTTCCTCCTCTGTTCCCTAGAGCTGACATGAGAAGCTTACAGCGTCTTCCTCCTTGATCCTGAAAGGGGCCTTTTTACCCCCACGGAGAGTCAGGAAGCTGGGCCCAAAGCAGGGGAGGAAGCCAGAGTACATGCCTGCAAGGGGAGAGGGTGAGAAGGTTCCCCAGGCCCGGGGGGGGAGAGGTGCAGGAGGCGGGGCCGGGGGCTTGCTTGCCTTCTATTTCTGCTCCAATGGACGAGATCTGGTTGAGGAACAGGCTGACCGTCCCGATCTCATCATGGCACTTGTTCCCAGGGCTGGAGAGAAACACACCCTGCAGGCTGAGCCCCTGGCCCAGCTCTGATTTCTTCCTCCCTGGCGTGTTTTCCAGTCTCCACCCAGTTGCTCACCAGTCCAAGACTCTGAACTTGATGTAGCTGGAGAGGCAGGGCAGCTGCAAGGGGCAAGCGAGAGGGGCAGTGGGTGCCTGCTCGGATGGCCTGGGCCTTGCTGAAACTGGGAGCAGGTGGAAAGTCCTGAGTCTGGGTCAAGGCCTGGCTCGGTTACCAGTGAGCCCAGTGGGACTGACCATGGGAGCTTATGGACCTTTGGCTGTGGGCCCCCCACTGCATCGGCCCTTTGCAAGGGCCTGGGAAAGGCCTTGCACTGTGTCCCATGATCATTTTGTATTCTTATTCTTAAAATGGCCCCTCATTATATAAGTTCCCTAGTGGACCTGGCTTCCCTGGTGGCACAGTGGTTAAGAATCCGCCTGCCAATGCAGGGGACATGGGTTCGAGCCCTGGTCTGGGAAGATCCCATATGCCGCAGAGCAACTAAGCCCGCAAGCCACAACTACTGAGCCCACGTGCCACAACTACTGAAGCCTGTGTGCCTACAGACGGTGCTCTACAACAAGGGAAGCCATGCAAATGAGAAGTCCACGCACCTCAACGAAGACCCAACACAGTCAAAAATAAAAACAAATAAATAAATAAATGTATAAAATTTATTTTATAAATTTTATAAAATAAATCGGGTCCTAGTGGACCAGAGTCCACCCTACTTTGGGCTGCATGATTGCGGTCCTCACACGGCCCTTCAGTCTGGAGGCGTGTTTACCAAGCCTCATGGGGAGGCTGTAGGCCTCGAATGTCTTCCTCACATTTAACAGTTAACCTTTATTTATTTATTTTATTTTAATTTAATTTAACTTTTTTTGGCCATGCCCTGCAGCTTGTGGGATCTTAGTTCCCCGACCAGGGATTGAACCTGGGCCCTCAGCACTGAGAGGACAGAGTCCTAACCACTGGACCGCCAAGGAATTCCCTAGCACCTAACCTTTAAACAGCGGGACATCTATCTCCTCAAAGAGTAAATCATAATAGCTGCCACTCTGGGGAGGCTTCTGTCATCCCCAGCATGTCCTGAATGGTCTACGTGGATCACCTGAGAGACCCACCCCGCCCACAACCCCAGAAGCCAGGAGCTATGATCATTCCTATTTTCAGACAGGAACACTGTGGCACAGAGAGGCTGAGTTCCTGAAGTTCTCATGTAACATGCAGAGCCCCTACCCACTCTGGCAAGGCCTGACTGTCCCTATTTACCGAGCAGGACTGAGGCCCAGAGAGGGACTTGTTTGAGATCGCATGGTAAGGGGTAGAATCAGGATTGGAACCCAAGCTTCTGAGTCTTACCTCTGCTCTGCCCTCAGTTATAAAAACAAAAAATCCACGTATAAAACAGAGCTGTTGGGGCTGAGGCCTGAGTGGGCCCCAAATCCTCTCAGCTGGAGCCTCTCCTCTGCTCACAGCAGTTCCTGGGGTGTGGCCTGGGGTCCTCAGTTCTCCACTCCCCTCTCCTTTTCCCCTTGCCATGGAAGCCGAGGGTCAGGGGGAGCGGGGAAAGAAAGGGCTTTCCAGCTGAGCATCTGGTTAGTAAGCTACGAGGAGATCACCCAGGTTAAGGAAGAACACTGGAAGTGGAGAGATGGGAGTCGTTGGGCATCCAGGTCTTCCAAAGTACCAAACCCTCCATATTTGAATTTATGGTGGAACCATCTGTTCACCCATCCTTGGGAAGTCTCCTCCCCTTTCCCAGTTCCTTGTCTTGATTCCCCTCCTGTCCGGGAGCCCTTGAACTGCTAACTGGCACAGACCATTTTCAGCAGCGCGCCCCCTGCAGCCTGCCTTGCTGGGGCCCTGACCAGCTGTTCTCAGATGCCACTGGCTGTGCAGTCATCCTGCCACTTCCGAGTGAGTTCACATCTGCCTGCTGCACTTCCAGAGGGCTAGTGACAATGAGGCCTGCACCCAGATCGCCCCAGCGCCGGAGACTGTGTCTTCAGGAAATGGGTGACGGTCCAGAGTGTGTTTGGACATCTTCAGACATTGGAAGCTCTCTTTCAAGGATGAAGGGGGGCCTGGCCCCCCTGACTGCACCTCCCCACTGTCTTCTGAGCCTGAAGGAAGCTGAACGTGAGCGAGGACATCCAAGGCCCTGAGCATCCACAGAGAAACTAAGGATTCCAGCCATGAGCTTCATCACAGCTAGAAAAGGTGGGAGGGAGCAAGGGTGGGGGGTGGACTGGGCCCCCTCTAAAATCTCTCCCTACTTTAAGAATCTATAAAGTCACCCAAGAAGGTGGGGATTATGAGGAATGGTTAAAAATGATGACTCATGGGGACTTCCCTGGTGGCACAGTGGGTCAGAATCCGCCTGCCAATGCAGGGGACGTGGGTTTGATCCCTGGTCCGGGAAGATCCCACATGCCACGGAGCAGCTAAGCCTGTGCGCCATAACTACTGAGCCTGCGCTCTAGAGCCCGTGTGCCACAACCACTGAGCCCATGTGCCACAACTACTGAAGCCCGCGTGCCTAGAGCCCGTGCTCCACAACAAGAGAAGCCACCACAATGAGAAGCCTGCGCACCACAATGAAGAGTAGCCTCTGCTTGCCGCAACTAGAGAAAGCCCGTGCGCAGCAACAAAGACCCAACGCAGCCAAAAGTAAATTTAAAAAAAAAAAAAAAAAGATGACTCACGAGGAGGCAGAAGATTCTACGAGAAACAGGGAGGAGGGTCCACAGAAGGGTAGCTAATTTCACGTCACACAAATGTAAGGTAGGTATAAGGAAAGCAAAACACTCCCTGGGTAGCCAGACAGATGCCACACAAAGTTCTGTACACTCTCACTTATGGGAGTGCCCAAGTTCTCTCTCACACTGCATACCCTTATTTTACACACAGCTCTTAGAAGCCTGGCGTGGAGTCAAAAAGCAATCAAGGCTCTCCCAGGGCTTGGAGAAAACTGACATCCACACCGCTGATAGGTGACTGAGAAGGACTGAAAGGCTTTAGAAATCAGACTACAGAACCCCACAGAGAAGAGCATGTTGGGGCCATTTAATGTGGGAACAAACAGCCCCACACTACATGTAGCCAGCATGCAACTGTGTTCCTGTAGTGCCTCTAAGCCATCAATAAAGAGCTATAATTATATTCAGGGCGCATTGCCTAGAAGATAAGAAAATGCATAATACAATTTAGAATGAGTCTTGAAAGTGTTTGCTTTTTTTTTTTTATGTAGGTGAAAGGGCACATTTAAGTTCTCTGGAAAGTTCAGTTGTAGGGTCCATTCTTTTTTTTTTGGCGGTACGCGGGCCTCTCACTGTTGTGGCCTCTCCCGTGTGGAGCACAGGCTCCGGACGCACAGGCTCAGTGGCCATGGCTCACGGGCCCAGCCGCTCCGCGGCACGTAGGATCTTCTCGGACCGGGGCACGAACCCGCGTCCCCTGCATCGGCAGGCAGACTCTCAACCACTGCGCCACCAGGGAAGCCGCATTTCTTTTTTTTTTTTAAACCTAGCCTCCTTGATCATTAGCTGAAATCATCTGGGTCATTTATTGGTTTCCCTTTTTTTTTTTTTTTTTGGTCTCACAGCACTTGGTTGTGGGATCTTAGTTCCCCGACCAGGGATCGAATCCAGGCCCTCAGCAGTGGGAGCGTAGAGTCCTAACCACTGGACTGCCAGGAAATTCCCCCCATTCATTTCAAGTAAGGTTCTCTGTAATATGTCTTGGGCTTCCTCATGCTCCCTATCAGGCAGAGTCCCCGCCCCCTCCCGCCGTGCTTCGTGGCCCCTACCTTCCATCCACACGCCCCCACAAACACCCAAACCCCCTTCTGTTTGTGGTGCAGGAGGAAGAGGGCGGGCGTGATGGCACAGCAATACCTGAATCTGGAAGGTCAGGATCTGGTTCCATATGGGGCTCTCGGTTTGCATCCGCACGTGTGTCTTGAGCTGGGAACATCCCAAAGCAGTGTCAGTGCCAGTCTGTCCCCTCCTCCCTCCACTGGCCTCACCTCCCAGCCCTTCTGGTCCAGCCCACAGGTCTGTCTGCAGCACAGGGCTGTTCATGGGAATCCCTGGTCCAAAGACACTTTGACAACTTCTCATCCGCTACAACTCTGGTCCTTTGAGTAGCTACCTAGATCCAGACTCCTTCATATCTTCCCTTAAATCAGCTTTCAATTAACTTTTAAATAGATACAGGTTTACTAACTTTATTATATCAGTGCAAACACATAGATTTTGTTAGATAAACTCTAAGATCCCAATAAAAAGTCAGCAATAACAATGCTGATGGTATCCCCCTTTCTAAAACATCACTTGACTTCATTTTTAAACCTAGCCTTACTCTAAGCAACCGTGTCAGTGAAACCAAGGGTTAGTTGAACTGCTTAAACTTTTTCATACACTCTAAGAAAAACACAAAAATACTAAAATTTTTGAAAAAATGTGTGCCTCTACCACCCAACAGTATCTCACCTACTTCCAGGGTTCCTAAACCACTCATTGGGAAATAAATACTCAGTGTAGTGGCTTCAAGCTATGTCCACACCTCCCTTTGATACTCTCCCCTTAAAAAGGCGGACACTAACCTCCCTCCCCTCACGTATGGGCTGGACTTAATGACTTCTTCTAATAGGTAGAATATGGTGGAAATGATGGTTGATGAATTCTGAAACATATCTAACCCAGCATTCCCCAGATTTGAACATGCGATCTTTTTTTTGCACATAACATCCATCAACACCCTTTGGAAAATGCTACCATATGTTCATAGAGGTTCATGGAATGTCAGCAACTCTCTTGCCCAGAACCTTCAACTTCTAGATGAAGAAACTGAGGTCCAAAGCGGACGGTGACAGTTTCAGTTGTGCATTTGCGGACATGTTGTTTCATCCACTTGTCCACTCATCCGTGCATTTGGATGTTTGGTTTTCGGTGGGCATCTTCTCTATGCAGGGCACTGGGCACAGCTCTGGGATACAGGCTGACTAAGCCATGGCCTCCACCTTCACAGAGGCCCGGGTCCAGTGGGATCATATCACCCATAAATGGAAGAACTGGGATACAACACCTGGGGTCCTGGCCACTTTTCCTCCACACCATTTTTTTTTAGGTGCCAATTTCTCTAAGTCTCAGACCATTTTTACACTTACCTTTTCCCCAATTAGTTCCACCTCCAACATAGGACTCACTGAGTGGTGTTTCTCTAAGAGCAAAGAAGTTAAAAGATTTCTGAGATAGCAGCATTTTTTTTTTTTCAGGAGAAGGAAATGGAGAAGTGACAGAACAACTTAAAACCCTCCCCCATAATTTGGTTTGGTGCCCCCTGTGCAGACACCTCCCATTTCCACCCTGTCTCCATGTGCTGTTGTGTGTCCTGGCACACAACAGCAGCGGGGGTGGGGCCTGGCATAGGGAACCTTGAGTCTGCATCTGGGCATCAAAGACAGGGCAGGGGCACATGGCCCATTTTAAAGGGACCTTCATAAAACCATTCTTGGCAGATTTCAGTCTCCCCCTCTCCCCCACCCCAAATCGTAGTGTCAAGACAGAACTGGGGAGCCCCAGGAGAAACCAGAGTGCCACCGGCTAGGGAACCTCAGGGTCAGCCCCTCCCCCGCCCTGACTGACTGAGGTGGAGATCCTCGGCGCAGTAGATGAAGAACTGTAAGTAGGCCACATTGATGGGCACCACCGATGACTTGAAGATCTGAATGTCAGTGTCATCAGCCCTGTAGGTCAGCTTTTGATCTACCTGGAGAGACCAGAGAGCTAATAGGGTCAGGGTCTTAGGGAGGTCACGGCCACCAGACTTGGCTTCCCCAACCTTCCGCTTGGTTGGGGTGGGGATGGACAACCCTGAAGGGACACAGTGGACAAACGAAAGCATGTGAAGAGCAGTGGCCTCTTGGGGGGCCCACGGGGGACCCCACGGAAGCAGCCAGGGTAGGAAATGTTCCTGGGGTGTTGGGGGGACAGCCTCACCGGTGCCTGGTCTCCCACACCGAGGGCAGAGATGGTGACTTTCAGGTAGCCCCTCACACCACTGCTGGGTTCATTTGGCTGGCAGAGGCCAAGCCATTTCCTCAGGAGTGTGCGACCTGGAGAGGCAGAGGGCCCATGGGAGACCAGCCTCCAGTCTCTATTCTTCTTCCCTGAAACCAGCCTTTGCTTCTGTAGGAGACGGGTGTGGAAACGTGTCTCATATATTCTGGTTCCCAGCCAGGGGCAGGGGGAAATGGGAGTCACTCCTACCTTTAAGCAAAAGCTGCCCGCTATTGCCTTTAGGAAGTAGGGACCCTCCTTTCCCATCCAGGGAACTTATAGTTGTTACTGTCCTGGTCTGAGAGAGGCAAATATTTTCCCCAACCCTAAGTCCCAACCTCAACCTGGTATGTATGTTATGGTCAGGTCTACTCAAAACTCAAACACTGGCCACACATTGTAAATCAGTCATACTTCAATTAAAAGAAATAAAATAAACAACAACAGCAACAAAATTCAAACACTGGCATAGAAAAATAGAAATTCAACCCAAGGCTGCAATAAAAAATTAGCATTTGACCCAAAGAGATGCTTTGATTTTTGTAGAGAAAGATGCTATTATAAAACAAGATAAAATACCATGAAGTACAGTAAAATGTTAAGTACAGAAAATAATTCACACCTTCTAATACTCTCCCCCCATGTGTTGAACATACAGGGATTTTGAGATGATTTCAACACCTGACCTGGTTTTTCTCAGAAGACACACATATTTCCAACAACTGCTACCTACCTGGAGAGTTGTAGATGAACCCAATATCTGTCTGAAAAGACAAGAATAGAGTAAGGATTAGTTAGGGCCTCCAGCCAACCAACTTGATGACAATACGAGTACTTGTTCCACCCTAATTCCTTTAATCTTTGCAATGACCTGGAAGTTGGGCCATTATCATAGTGGAGGCCATTATCACCTCCACTCTACAGAGGAGGATACTGAGTTTGAGCCCGAAGTTTTACAACTAGTAAGTGAGGTGACCTGGATTGAAAGGATTCTTGACCACCACCAGCACTGCTGGCCAACACAGCGTTATTCTTCCCTACCCCTGGGGGTTGGGGAAAGGTGTCTCCCGTCCTGGGGAAGAGGATGGTCAAGGGAGGACTTGGTAAAGAGACTATGGGTTTTTCCTTTCCCCTGGGAGACAGTTTTGACTCCCTGAGGCCTGAGGGATGCAGTACAGGATTGAAGGTGGTGTGGGGCAAGGTAGCACAGAACATTCAGGCCACCCTTGGAAGGGTCCATAGAGCAAGCCCCAAGTTTTGTATGTAGGCCTGCTTTAAAGCTCAGTCAGCCCCTTGGGTTAGGTAGGCAAAGATTTCTTAGATTCAACAACAAAAACACAACCCATAAACGAAATTTTTTTTTTTTTCCATAAACGAAATTTTTGATAAATTGGACTTCATCGAAATGTAAAACTTCTGCTCTTTGAAAGACACTGTTAAGAAAATGGAAAGAAGGCTTCCCTGGTGGCACAGTGGTTAAGAATCCTCCTGCCAATGCAGGGGACACGGGTTCGAGCCCTGGTCTGGGAAGATCCCACATGCCGTGGACCAACTAAGCCTGTGCACCACAACTACTGAGCCTGCGCTCTAGAGCCCGTGTGCCACAACCACTAAGTCTACGTGCCACAACTACTGAAACCTGTGTGCCTAGAGCCCGTGCTCTGCAACAAGAGAAGCCACCACAATGAGAAGCCCGCACACCACAAAGAAAAGTAGCCCCTGCTCGCCACAAAGCCCACGTGCAGCAACAAAGACCCAACACAGCCAAAAATAAATAAATAAACTTATTTTTTTTTTTAAAAAAAAGAACCCTTAAGAAAGAAAAGAACATGAAAGGAGACGTGATATACTGGGAGAACATTTTTCCAAATCATTTATCTGATAAAGGACTTGTATCCAGAATATATAAGAAAATCTCAAAACTCCATAGTAAGAAAACAAACAACCCAATGAAAACAAGCAAAAGATTTGAACAGACACTTCATCAAAGAAGTTAGATAGCAAATACTTGAAAAGATGCTCAACATCATCAGGGAAGTGTAAATTATAATCACAACAAGATACCACCACACGTACTTAGAAGAGCCAAAATTTAAAAGATGGACAGTATCAAGTTTGCATAAGAATGTGGAGCAACTGGAACTCTAATATGTACTGCTGGTGGGAATATAAAATGGTAGAACCTATCTGGAATTTTTGGGAAAAAACTGCTAGGAATTTTCTTTAAAAGTTAAACACACACCTACCATATGAGGTAGTCATTTCACTTCTACATATTTAGTCAAGAGACATCAGAGCATAGGTCCATGCTAAGACTTATACATCAGTGTTACAGCAGCTTTGTTTTAATAGCGCCAAGCTGGAAACAATCTAAACGTCCATCAGCAGATGAATGGATCAACAACCTGTGGTATATCCATAAATGGAATACTATTCAGCAATAAGAAGGAATGAACTATTGATCCATGCAACAACATGGATGAATCTCAAAAGAATTATGCTGATTGAAAGAAGCCAAACAACAATAAAGTACATGCTGTATGATTCCATTTGGATACAATTCTAGAAAATGCAAAGCAATGTGTAGTTACAGAAAGCAGACCAGTGGTTGTCTGGGGATGGGAGCAGGAAGGATTGGGGGAAGAGGGAAGAATTACAAAAAGGCACAAGGAAACTTTGGAGGGTGATAGATATGATCGATATGTTCATTACCTTGATTGTGATCATGGTTTCATGGTTGTATACATATTTTAAAACATGAAATTATACATTTAAAATATGTATAGGGAATTCCTGGGCAGTCCAGTGGTTAGGACTCAGCATTTTCACTGCCTTGGCCCGGGTTCAATCCCTGGTCGGGGGACTAAGATCCTGATAAAATAAAATAGTATAATTCATTGTATGTCAATTGTACCTCAATAAAGCTAGAAGAAAACAAACCAAAATGAAACTCAGTCACCTCTAACGAAGCCATAGATCTAGGCAGTGATCATCAATAGCTCTTAACAACATAAAAAGAGACCAACAGTCGTTCTGTGTCTCCTGGTGACATCATCTTGCCAAATAATTGACCCAAGTCTGATCTAGCCTATAGATAGGAAATACCTGGGCAGAGAGACGTGAGAACTGATCCCCTGGAGGTACAACCAGCAAAATCCAGACTGAGGGAAAACTGCAGGACAAACTATCCAGTTGCTTCAACAAATAAATGGCAAGGTAAACTAGGGGGCAGGACCGACTGAATGAAATACACCTAAACGTAACATTTTAACCAACTGCAGTGTGTGCACCTGGTTTGGATCCTGATTTGAACAAACTGTAAATGGAATTCACAAGACAATTAGGGAAATGTGAGCACTGACTAGATATTAGTGCTCTCCAGGAATTATAAAAAGGTGTTTAGATGTAGTCATCGTCTTTGGTTATGCTTAATAAAATCTGTATGTTTTAGAAATAGGTAATGAAATATTTAAAAATAAAATGATGTCTGAGATTTGATTCAAAATCTGTAGGGGGATAAAAAAAGAAAAAAAGATCTGTAGGGGAGAGGGAGGGGGCCAGGTGTAGATAAAACATGATGACATGATTGACAACGAATTGGTGAAGGTGAGTGATGGGGATGGGGGAATTCATGATACCATTCTCTCTACTTTTGTGTATGTTTGAAATTTTCCAAAAAAGGAATATATATATTTTTAAAAGCTCAGGTTTTTCCCTGACCTCTAAAACGTATTCAACAGTCGGTCATCGTCTGGAAGTCGCACAGTGGCCTTTGTCAAAATGAATGGATAAAGAAGATGTGGAACATATATACAATGGAATATTACTCAGCCATAAAAAGAAACGAAATTGAGTTATTTGTAGTGAGGTGGATGGACCTAGAGTCTGTCATACAGAGTGAAGTAAGTCAGAAAGAGAAAGACAAATACCATATGCTAACACATATATATGGAATATAAGGAAAAAAAAAGTCATGAAGAACCTAGGGGTAAGATGGGAATAAAGACACAGACCTACTAGAGAACGGACTTGAGGATATGGGGAGGGGGAAGGGTAAGCTGTGACAAAGTGAGAGAGTGGCGTGGACATATATACACTACTAAATGTAAAATAGATAGCTAGTGGGAAGCAGCCGCATAGCACAGGGATATCGGCTTGGTGCTATGTGACCACCTAGAGCGGTGGGATAGGGAGAGTGGGAGGGAGGGAGATGCAAGAGGGAAGAGATATGGGAACATATGTATATGTATAACTGATTCACTTTGTTATAAAGCAGAAACTAACACACCATTGTAAAGCAATTATACTCCAATAAAGATGTTAAAAAAAAGAAAAAAGCACATTTTGACCTCCTGCTACCCAGCCTCTCTAGAATCTCTTAATTTCTAAACCTGTGCCGCTTCCTTGAGGGTTAGGTGGGGGAGGGGCAGGTCATGACCCTTCTTGTGCTTATTACAAGTACTGTAGTGAGAAAGAAACCTTACTTTGATTTGCCCTAAATTTGCCTTTCCCAAGGGCTGGGCACTTTTCCATGAGTTGCCAGATTTAGCAAATGAAAATACAGATGGCAGCTTAAATTAGAGTTACAGATAAACAATGTGGTGGTCCAAGGACAATGGTGCTTCAAGGACCAAGGACGACCCTGCCTGAAAAAGTTTCAGCGGTACACCCTCCACCAGACTCTTAATCACCTTCCCTACCATGTTACGATGGTTACGAAATTCCTGAGCCCACCTGGGCGACGCCCGCCTGGGCGATGGGACCTGTCCCAAATAAGGAAAGGCATCTGCCCTGTCCCACTCCCATCCTATAGAAGGAAGGTATATGTGCCCCGACCAATTGGTAACGGAAAATTTCACCTCGGACCATTCCTTTGTTTTCTGGCTATAAAAACTGATCAATAGCACACGTTTGGGCTTGACTCTCCCAGACTACTAGGAAGCTGGCCCTCTGTTCCGGCAGCGACCCTTCCCTCTAATAAATTCTATCTTCTTTACATTCTGCCTTATGTCTGGAAATTCTTTTCCAACCCGCGTTCGGACAACGCCAACTTTTTTAGTATACGTAGGTCCCAAGCAATATTTCATGAGGAGCCATGAAATACTGGGGATATACTTATATTTAAAAGTACCTGTTGTTTAAGATTCAAAATTTCCGGGGCATCCTGTATTTAATCTGGCCACCCTAACTTTTCCTGATCTTCCTGGATTCGGAGAATCTTAGTTTAGCCCTTCATGACTGTGTGAACTTTCCTCACTTCTCAACCTGGGTCTTTCCCAAAGCAAATCTTTTTACTCTTGTCTTCATAGGCAGCAATCTTTCTCTAGGTTTCTCCAGCAATTTGGTTGACCTTTTGAGTCCTCTGCTTCCACAGTGTTATAAGTGTGGGGGGATTCAACGTGGCACCCAGCACTTTCATAAATGTTACATACTTTAATCCCCACAATGACCCTGTGGGTTGAGTATATTATTATCCCCATTTTACAGATGAGGAAGTAGAGGCTCCGAATAACTTGTCTAAATCACCCAGTTGGTAGGTGGATCCAAATCTGGATCTTGTAGCATCAAAATCCTTTCCCCTAGACTTAGACATAGAGCCCAGTGTGGGTCACTGTAACTGTTTCACCAAACCGCGCCTCCTCCATCCAGTGCTCACTTGGAATCTCCCGATCTCTGCATTGAATCTCATCACTGAGGAATTCATCACCTGCAGGGGAGTTTCCAGAAAGATCTCAGTTATTCACAAGCCCAATTTCCCCCAGCCCCATGGGAGGAATCATAAGGGTACATCTGGATTCTCCAGGATTTACTCAATGCTTCCTAATGGCTGACACTTCCATGTAGTTTTTCTCATTTAATTCGCAGAGGAGCCCTGTGAAGTTCATATATTGCAGCTCCACTTTACAGATGAGGAAATCGATCAGAGAGGACAATTCACTTGATCTCCACAAAGCAAATTGTTGCACTCAACTTTCTCCCCTGCATGCTGTCCTGGCTATTTCTCAAGAACATGTAAACTTTCAAGGGAGAAGTCTTGCTCTCCTTAGCCCTGTGCTGGGCACATAGGAAGCACTTGATAAATACATGCTCACCATTGTTACCGGGCTCCCTCTGATTGGAGAAAGGGATGTCCCATGTTGAGGGGACATTTGAAGGGTGGCATGAGAATACTGGCACATGGGAAAGGGCTGCTTTGTTCACCTCGGAGCTGAGCTCAGGGCCTATCAGTTGGCCTTCCATAACATTTGTTGAATGAATGAATGAATGAATGGATGAATGAATGAATGGAGTGTCTGGTTGCCGGGATAAAGAAGGTGGCAGAGGTGCTGCCTTGGGGTCAGAAAGACCATCTGATGTGACTCTAGCTCTACAGGTAAGGATGCAGGGCTGACGCACTTTCCAGAACTGAGGTGGGACAAGAAAGTGGACCCACCCTGTCCAGCACCTCACCTGGATTAAGATGGTGTCGTCGAAGAATTTTGCAGGAGCCTCATAAAAATTCTGAAAGAAGATCTGAAGCAGAGAGAGTCGGGGTGTGTTTAGGAGACATTCCTTCCACCACTTGCCCCAGGGACTCAGCAAGCCTGAAGCCTCAGACTAGCAGGTTTCTGCCCCGCTGTTCACCCATTTCAATGGCTTTCAGCTCACTACCACCTACCGCTCCTCCCACAGAAGCAGAGGCCTGCCAGGTCCCGGAGGGGTTTTCTATCCAGCAAAGGGCGGGATAAGGGATCCCTGGAGGACTTGTCAGAAGCAGACCAAGGCCCAGCTAACTGCCCTGGGATGGAGATTCAAGCCCCGGCTTCTTTCTAGATCGCCCTGGGAATTCCTTGGCGGTCCGGTGGTTAGGAGTCTGCGCTTTCACTGCCGAGGGCCTGGGTTCAATCCCTGGTCAGGGAACTAAGATCCCACAAGCTGAGCAACGCGGCCGAAAAAAAAAGATCGCCCTCTCGGTCCACTGCACCCCACTCCCTGCTGCAGCCAGAACCTCCTCCCCCAGATGCAGACCGGGCCCTGTCACTCTCCTGCTTGAATCCCTCCATGGCTCCCAAGTCCCGTCCATGACAGGGCCCCAGGGCGTTTTGAAGGCTCACCTCCGGCCACTCCCCTCCAACTACACCCGTGTCTACAGTTCTGCCAACCAGCCCTGCCGCTTCTCCTTTCCAGGCCTCTGAGAACACTATTCCTTTTTCCTGAATTATCTTTCCCCATCCTGCCCTTTCGGAGTCCTCTCCAACCCCTGCTGCACCGTGCTTTTATCTTTTCCTTGGTGGTCTAGTCATCAATTAATTCGGCGCATGTTCATGGAGTTCCTACCGTGTCAGACACGATGCTATGAGGTGGGGCTTCTGCAGTGGCCAGGGCTACAGAGGGCCTGCATTTCGCGGCTGCCATCCCTGTGCACCGCAGTCTTGCCCGGTTGTCATCCCTTATGTGTTCACATATGCGGGAGGCCCCCCACAGACCACTGGCTCTCCCCATGCAGGGCTCGGAATTACTCGCTCTCTATTCCCTGTACCAAGCCCAGTGTTTGGCCCTCCATGCCCAGTAAGAGTTTGTGGAACAAACAAATGAAAGCACCCGTGTCAGGGAGCAAGCTTGCTGGCTGCCGGCAGGAAATTCCTGGCCCTTGGCTGGCCCTCCTGGCCCTAGTGTCCCCATTCGGCTCTGAAGGGCACGTGCTGCCCACCTCATTGAAGAAAGGGTTATTTCCCATCTTGATCCGCGTGTGGTGCTGGTAGCCTCCGATGACCACCTTCACCACCGGCTTGATGTCCTTGCCCATGAGCTGCCGGGCTTCAAACACCTTCACTCGGACCTGCAGAGGAGCAAACAGGGGAACTTGACGTTGGGCTCCCCTTCCCCAGTGGGGACTCTTCTCTAGAAGAACAATATGTTCTGATAAGAAACATCTACTGCGGATAGAAAGCGACCCCATGGGCCCTGGGAAGGCCATGGTTCCTTCTCTTTCCTTTTCTGGGAACTGTCACCTCCACTTTGCTCTTTTCATCTTGGGTGTTTCTTGAGTGGTAGGGACTTGTTACAGAATAAAGTCTAACATTTCTCAGTTTGCTGTCTTTTTATGTTTGTCTGCGATCTTTTTAGGGAACCGAACATTTTAAAGTTCTATGCAGTTGAATCTATGATCTGTGATTTGATCTCTGATTTGTGATTTCTTCTTCTGCTGCTTTTATATACTTTACTGAGACTCAGTAAAGGGACGATGAAGTCTGAGCCCAGAATTAGGAGGTGGGAGGGAGAAGAGCCCGTAAGATCCAGGCTGGCTAAGGCCCCAGGGGAAGGAACTGGAGATGGCGGCGGCCGGCAGGGCACAGTCGTGGGAGCCTGTCGTGACTAGAGGTAGTAACAGCACGCAGCTCTCCCAGCCCAGCCCGTGGATCCGGCCATTCTCCATGAGGCCTCCTGTGTCTCCATCAAGTCCAGGGGCCCTTCAAGGATTAACACACATGCAGCTACCTGACCATCAGAGACAAGAGTGGTCAAACCAGGCAAACAGGCCTCATGTCAGAACTTTGCCCTACGCACTAGTACATAGGAAGGGTAGTGATTTGGGCACGCTGACCTTCTATCCTGTGGCCAGCTAGCCTCGTGAAGAGGGACAGGGCCAATGGGGAGAGGGAATGTTCGCCAAAGGAGGCGACAGCACGTGCAAAGGCCTGGTGGCTGGGGAGAAAGTCTTGAGAGTGGGGACTGTAAGTTGTGCAGGATGTTACAGCAGGGCGGGGCGGGGCAGGGGCAGGGGACAGAGTGGCCTGGGGGCCAGGTTTGGGTTATCAAGGGCCTGGGAAGCCATCGTAAGGAGTTTGGGTTATGTCCTGAGAACACTGGGAGTCCTCATTTTTAAGAACATTTTTAGGCACACGCATGGCGTGATAAGAAGGACTTTATTTATTTTTTGGCCGCGTCATGCGGCATGCGGGATGTTAGTTCACCGGCCAGGGATCGAATCCATGCCCCCTGCTTCGGGAGCATGGAGTCTTAACCACTGGACCGCCAGGGAAGTCCCAAGAATGACATCTTGGAAAGACCACTTGGACTGAAAAATGGACAGGAGAGAGCTGGGGGCTGGGAGTTTGGGAGGAGCCTATTCAAGGTGGTCCAGAGAAGGGATGCTGTTGTCTGAGACCAGGGGATGGAAGACGCAATGGAGAAATGGGTGCGGCCAGGTGATATGAAGAGCTAGGACTTGGCCACTGACTGGATGCGGGGCAGGGGGTGGGGGGAGGAGGGGCAGCCAAGGATGACTCCCAGTCTCCTGAGCACGTGGCTGGCTGGGGAGCAGCTCCAACCATGGCAGAAACGTTAGATTACAGGTTAGAGATCAGAAGTAAGTTGGTAAGCCATGGTATGGGGGTTCCAGAATCCCTGGAGCTTCCCAGGGATCCCCTCGAACTCTCCTCAGCCTCTGCTGTGCAGCTCATTTCTCCTTGCCCAAGGCTAGCCTTGTATTGCCACCTCCTGAAGGGCAGGGTCCAGGCCTCAGCCCTGCCTCCCCAGCATGGCCAGGGCCTGGTGTGCACTGCCCTCAGTGCTTCCTGTCGCCTCCCTGGAGCTGGCTCCAGCCTCAGCCACATGCAGAAGTTTCCCAGAATGGCCCCTGGAGGGGCAGAGGATGTGGTGAAGATCTGAGGACCTGGAGACCAATCTGAAGCCCTGACCTTCCTCCATGACCTTGTGGAGAGGCAGGGATGGCCTGGGAACACAGTGAGGGTGTCGGCCAAATCATGTGGGCTTTCACCCTGGACGGCCTTACCTGGAAGTGCTGAGGCTTTGGGGACAGAGCCTTGTGTACAGTGGAGCTGGGAAACATCCGTTGCTGCCTGGCCACCTCTTGTGCCATTATGGCCAGGTGGTCTTCATCGCCTGGGGAAGCATAGTCCATGGTGGGCTCTCAGAGGCTGGGGCTCAGGACACTTGGAGGCGTTTCCCCCATTTCAGTGTTCTATCCCCAGTGACCAGCTCCTGACTAAAATCATGGCCAAGAGGCCCTGACAAGGGCACATATCCTCCCCAGACATTCCCATGGTCTCCACCCACCATGGGCAACCCTGGGCCTCACACTCTACATATGGAGGCCCTTGGAAATGGCCATCCTTGCCTCTCTCTGCAGCCCATTGGAGGCTGGGTCTTCTGTCTACAGACGACAAGTGGACACATTGGGAGGACAGGTGACCTCAGGCAGGTGTCCGGAGATCTGGCCTACAGACCCTAACCTGGTCACTATCCTTCTGTAGGGCTCAGTGGTTGAGTCTCCAAGATCCCCAAGAGCCCATCCAGCTATGCTTGGTGAAATGCAGGGCTTAGTCCCATGGAAGTACATACCTATCTTCTCGATATCCTTGGGGGTCATAAGGGCCACCTGTAGGGTGAGAGTGCACTGCAAAACAAAGGCAGGGGAGCTGTAAGATCCTGCAGTCCTTGGCCAAATCATAGCACTGGAACCTGGTCCAGCCTGGCAGGGGCCACACCCAGTCTTCCCGGGTGGAGTGATGCTGGCCATGGCACAGGACCACACCATGGGGGCCTGTGTGGTCTGGGATGGAGGGAGGTTATAAACTGGTGGAGAGAGAGCAATGGGTTACCATGGATGGGGTTTGAAGAATACAGGAGGCACACATTAGTGGTGGTGACAGAAGAGGATGCAGCAGGGTGGGGAGGAGAGAGAGGGTTGACTTGAGACCAGTCTAGAACCACTGATGCTAACCTCCGAGCCCAATGTCTTATGACCTCATGTGGGAACTCCAGCAAACACCTAACTGACCTCCTGCCTGCAAGCACTCTCACTGACCGTCCATCCTCCAGACCATCATCAGAATCGACCCCTAAACACTCCGTAAGTGCTCTAAACATAGAGCTTTCCCACTCCTCTGCCTGCCTTTGAGTCTCTGTCAAAGCCAAATGATGGTGGCTGACTCCCTTGTTATATAGCAAGCTCTGAATAAATCACCTTTGCTTGTTCTCATCTGGTTGGTCTTCATGTGTTTCCACACATCTTAATCACCTCCCCTGTAAAGCCTTCCATTTCCTCCCAAGTGGAATTGTTCATTCTCTCCTGACCTCAGGGAAATAGCTCACTGACCCCAATATACACGTGCTGGAGCACTTGTCACCGAGAGTGACAACAGATGTGGGTTTCATCCAATTTTGTATCCCAGGCCTTGCATAGTTGCTGACACCTGTGGACAATCAACTGAACACTCAATCTCAATGGGTGGACGAAGGGTGGAGATGTGGGTAGGTGGATGGAGGGCAGCACGGGGAAGTTGGGGAGATGATGGGAAGTGTGATGGGTCCCCCGCAGGGCAGAAAGTGCTCTCTGGGTTGGGGGCACACTGGCACTCTGCTGGAGTGGATAGCTCAGCTTCACCAGCTGCCCCCACTCCTCCACGCACCCTTCCTAGGGCCCGACTCACATCTGTGGGCATCATGGAATGGTTGAGCAGGGTCAGGTCCTTCACGAAAAGGATCTCACTTGGTTTTTTCACCAAGGGCTTGAGCAGTATTGTGGCCAGGCCAATGAACCTGGGGAGACAAAGAGCAGGTGTGAGCTCCTGAGCCAGAGGAAATGGTGTCCTTCTCCGTCCCAGGCATGACTTTATCCCGAGATGTCTTTCTCTCCTCGAAGCTGTGCTGCCCACCAAGGCTTCAGGAAGGATGCTGTTGACTGGGAGCATCCACCAGAGGGCTCTCAACTCTCTGGGCATTGGCTTTGGGGCTTCCTGGACAGTGGGCACCCCAGTTACTGGCTCTGCCCTGCCCAGCCTTTTCCCAGAAGCTCTGCACCCACACGCCTCCGGAATGGGACCTGTGCCAAGTAACAGCTGATTGGACCGGGAAGTGGGCACCTGACCAAAGCTGGGCCAGTCAGATTCTCTGTCCTGGGCATTTTGACCTGGGATGCCATAGCCCCAGTCTCAGTGAGGCACTAGAATGGGGCTGTGATGAGAAGCCAGGGTTGGGCAGAGAGAAAGAGATTTGAGATTCTGTGCCTTCAGAAGAGACAGAACTGTCCCTGGGTCCCCAGTTTCCTAGTTCTAGTTGATCTGTCCATCTATATACCTAGCCTTCATATACACACACCACACCTTTGTTTTTTTTGCATTAGCTGTCTGGAGTGGATTCTGGTCCTTGCATCTGAGTGAGTTACAGACGCAGCATCTGCCGTAGCTTCAGTCAGAGAACAAGGCTCCTCCTGTCTCTCTCTCTGCCTTACCTTTCCTTCTTTACTGAGCCCATGTCCCGAAGGGTGACTTGCAGGAAAGAGTCCTTTTGCAGGGGGCGGTTCCGGAGGTGCCAGATGAGGGTCTGTGGGAGGCACAAACAGGTCAACATCCTCCCTCTCCCCTCCCTTTTCCATCCTCCTAGGAAATTCGAAAATATACAGGGAACGGGCTGGCCCTGTGTTTCTCTCAAACTGAGGAATATCTCTCAAGTCTAATTTCCTAAGAGGATGGCATTTGCTACCTTCACCAAGGGACCAGGCAACCTACCTGGGCTCCCACAGCTTAACTGTGGGAGTTAAGCAGTATTGTGGGCTTGTTAGGAGCTAAGGGGTTTGGGGACTGGGTGGGGGGACATGGATGGATGGGAGATGAGAGGGGATCCTACACAAGGAGCCCTGTCTCTATTCCAGGTTTCTGGGAACATCAGGACGGCCCGGTTGGACAAGATGGGTCCATCCCCAGAGTGGGTGAGATGGGCCAAGAGCTGCTCTGGCCCCGAGACCTGCACGGCCTTCTCAGCTTAGAGGCTACTTGCAGGGCACGATGTTCCAGCCTTGGGAAAGGCTGATGAGGCTCCCTGTCCCCTCCCTAGACTTCTGGGCACGGTCTGGACCCAGCCTCGCTGTGGGGCTTGTCATTGCCTCATCTGGGCTTGCCTGATGTGTTTTACCTCGTTCCATATGGGATGATTGCCTTCCACCTCATGAGTTGTCCTCTGGACATCTGCAAAGACACCAAGGGGCCGGCATTAGTGGTAGGAAATATTTCAAGGTCTAGGTTCAAGTGAGCAAAGAGGGGTAGGACTTATCTAGATGTAGAAAACATCAAGTCTACATTGGCAGATGTGATACAGCCCTGATTCTTTCCTACTCTGGAGATTTCAAATTTTCTCACTTTTTATAAGCGTGACATCACCCCATGTGTCAGATAATGTTATGTGTTCATTTCATTTTCTTCCTGGGTACATAGTTCCCAGCCATCTTGCAGCCGGGTGCGGCCGTGTGACTCATTCTGGCCAACCGAGTGTGGGATCCGTGCTCACCGCAGCCTGGACTGGCTCCCAAACTCTCCCATGAGAGTCTCCGTTCTCCTCCCCGCTCTCCACATGCGCTCGCACCACCTGCTGGGTGGTACCTGGTGACTTTGCAGCCACAAGCAAAGAGCAGCTGGTCCCTAAACGACTGTTTGGAGGAGTCATTCAGGATGGTTGCCTGATCTGCACAGTCGATGCAGCCCTTGGTGTGGGCAAGAGGTAAACTTTTGTTGTGTTAAAGCACTGGGATTTAAGGGTTCCGCTGTGACCGGAGCAAAGCTAGTGTACCCTAATACATCCCAAAATATCTCTAATGGGTTGACAGCTCTTTATCCACTAAAATATGCCTTCCCCAGAAATATCTTTAACAAAGAACAGTCTATAGCCCTGCAAAGAACCTCTAAATTGCTAAATTTGAGATTCTTCCCAAGGAAAGAATGTGTGTGAGAGAGAAGAGAGAGGAGACAGTCGGGGGTCGGGGGAGAAGCAGGGGACTCTCTGTGCCTGTCCAGTAGTGGGAAAGGGGGACACTGTAGGGGATGGTATATGGGGGAAGCGGGGCTGGAAACGACAGGTGAAAAAGGAATAAAAGATTTCAAACAAACATTCAGTTATAAAAATGTGTAGGCAAATCTGGGGGCAAACCCAGGATTCTGGGTCGTAGGCATCTTTTTTTTTTTTTTTTTTTTTTGCGGTACACGGGCCTCTCACTGCTGTGGCCTCTCCCGTTGCGGAGCACAGGCTCCGCACGCGCAGGCTCAGCGGCCATGGCTCACGGGCCCAGCCGCTCCGCGGCATGTGGGATCTTCCCAGACTGGGGCACGAACCTTTGTCCCCTGCATCAGCAGGCGGACTCTCAACCACTGCACCACCAGGGAAGCCCTGTAGGCATCTTTGTAAGAGAGATTTCTAGGAGGAGGAGGACAATGCCTGGGACGTGACAGGGAAGATGGCTTGGAATCAGACTGTTCCCCAGCTCACCATAAAATTAGTTTCAGGGCAAAGACATGCTGAACCTCCACTACACCTCTTTCAACCCGCAAACTGGGGACATAAACCTACATCACCCTGTGCACCTGGAGTCCTGAGTGTTCCATCTCTGAGTGACAGCATACTCAGCAAGCAGGGTTTCACAGGCCAGAAAAAAACTTAAGGAATTTCAGTCTTCGCTCATTTCTTTTGGAAACTACTGTGTCCTATTTTCTCTTGGTCCCAATTTTCTCACTCCCCACACTTCCTGGAAAACCTCATTTGCCTGTGTCCACCCCCTTTCTCTCCTCCAGCAGACTGTTCATCTTTCTTTCCCTTTTCCCCTTTTTGTTCCCAGCTCTTTGTCATATAGATACACTTAGCCTCTTTCATTTTCTCTCATAAATCCTTTACACCACCCCTCCCACCTTTCTTGGACTTTTTTCCTTATCTATGAAAAATTGAGACAATAAAACTTGCCTCATAGAATTGTTGTGAGGATCAAAAATCATTACATTTATGATAAAACTTTGTTGATTATAAAAGTAATTCATACAATTGAGCAGTTATTACTAGAAGTTGTACAAAGACCTGTCTGTATATTATCTTTTCAAATCCTCACAGCCATCCTATGAAGCAGGTACTTGGGTTTTTTTTAACCTGTTTGTGGCACAGCCCTAGTTCATAGAAGAAACTCGAGAAGTATTCATCTTCTTTTTCTCCAGTAGTCATTCTCCGGAAAAAATGGGAGGCAGAGGAGTCATACTAAGAGAAATAATAGCAACAAGGATGATAAATTTGAAAGAGCCAGACGGTGTCTACCTCACCTTTCTGTGACACAGGGCATTTTTACCTAGTAGGGCACCGATAAATCTAGTTTTTCATTGAACGTATGTTGCCTCTCAGGGCTCCTGGCTCTCACCTCTGAAGTACACGGACACGCAGGGTCTGGGTGGGGGGCTCAGGGGTGGGCTAATCTCGGCCGACCACACGACAAGCCGCAGCATCTCTTCCACCTACTTCCCTCCGTCCTTCTCTGGCAAAGCTTCCTTCTTGGAGCAACTTGGTCCAAAGCTTCTCCCAGGGCTCAGGGGGTAAGGAAGGTCCCGAGTGTGTTGCTTAGCAAGAGAAGTGATGTCACAAAGGTCAGTGGTTCTTGGGTGGTGGTTCTTGGTTCTGGAGAGGAATGAGGAGAACGGGAGGAAGAAGAAATCACAGGGTACGAAGCCAGTGGCTTGAGGCGCCCAGGGCTGTAGAAACAAACCAGTTTGGCTGAACTTCACTTCCTCCTTCCGTTCTCTTTTCTCTCTCGTTCTTACTGTCCTTCTGATTTCAAGATCAGGTAGAAGGATAATATCTGCCCTTTATACAAGCAAGTTATCTGGAGTGAATCATTGCCAAAGTCACACAGTTTAGGTGAGAAAATAGAGAAGGGAGGTGAGCTGAGAAAAGAAATAAGGAAATCAAAGACGATTTCAGTGGTGTTTCAGAAGTCCTTCCTAATGTGGAAGCAAACATTTAGGCCTCCTTTTCTCTAAAGGAAACGTGAGTCTAGGTATGAGTCTCTCTTGAACCAACAGAAACTGGCTTTCTCATCAATGAGCTCTTACGCCAGCTGGGTTTGTAAGGTTAAAGAAAAATCTCACCGACATATTATCTTGCTGTGGCATCTTCATTGCCCTCAAGGCCTCTCAGCGTGAGGATGGAACGGGGTCATTGCTCTTGTCCCTAAGCTTTTTCTGCTTTAGGGTTGAACATTATATAAATTATACCTTATCCAATAGTTAGCGTGAAAATTAATAGATGTTTTAAAAAAGTATATTTGTTGATGAAACAATTTAGCAGTAAGCTTACTACCCATTCTAAAACCTGCATGGGTATGTTTTAGAGCAAAAAAACCCAAAAAAACTGAATGTGTGATCTTGGTGTTAGGACTGCTTTCAGCAGGTTTAAAAAGTACTTCCTGACAGTTTTTCTTGAAATGTAAACACAACACAATGCTTGTTGCTTTGTTAATAATTTTCCAAACTAAGCATGACACAAAAGGCAAACCCAGGAAAAGGAAGAGACGGATAGATTTGACCGCATAAAATTCAAGATTCTTGTACAGAAAAATATACCTTAAAAGGTATATCAGAGCTTCCCTGGTGGCGCAGTGGTTGTGAGTCCGCCTGCTGACGCAGGGGACGCAGGTTCGTGCCCGGTCCGGGAGGATCCCGTATGCCGCGGAGCGGCTAGGCCCGTGGGCCGTGGCCGCTGAGCCTGCCCGTCCGGAGCCTGTGCTTCGCAATGGGAGAGGCCACGGCAGTGAGAGGCCCGCGTACCACAAAAAAAAAAATAAATAAAGATATATCAAAGTAGGGAATGTTTGCAACAGCTCTTATAATTCAATAAGAAAAAGATGAATACTCCAAAGGAAAATGGGGCAAAGTATAGATTAGATGACTGTCCAAATGGACCAAAAAAAAAAAAAGATGTAAAAAAAATTCAGCCTGCTTAATAATCAAAGAAACACAATGAGAACTTCCCTGGTGGCGCAGTGGTTAAGAATCTGCCTGCCAATGCAGGGGACACGGGATCGAGTACTGGTCCAGGAAGATCCCACATGCTGCGGAGCAAATAAGTCCATGCACCACAACTACTGAGCCTACACTCTAGAGCCCGTGAGCCATATATACTGATGCCTGCGTGCCTAGAGCCCATGCTCCGCAACAAGAGAAGCCACCGCAGTGAGAAGCCCATGCACCACAAGAGAGTAGCCCCCGCTCACCACAACTAGAGAAGAGCCCATGCACAGAAACGAAGACCCAATGCAGCCAAAAATAAATAAATAAATTTATGAAAAAAGAAAAGGAAGAAACGCAATGAGATACTGTTTATCACTTTGCCAAATTGGACTCAGAAGCCCAAAAAACAAAAAAGATGTTAAAAAAAATTCAACCTCCTTAATAAGCAAAGAAATACAACAAGATACAATTTATCACCTCCCAAATTGGCAAAGAATGAAAAAAATGATAAACCTGGTGTGCTGAGGAAGGAAGAGGGGCAGAGAAAAGATACAAACCCATACACAGTGCTGATCAGAGTATAAAGAAAAAAACAGCAGAACGAAGGCTCAGGATAACTGCCAGGGAAAGAGAGTTAAGCGTGGGGAGAGATGGACCGAAGGCTGCTCTTTTCCTGTCATCCTAATAGTAGTATTAACCTCTAAATAGCATATTTAAATAGCATCCCTTGAATTTTTCACTTTGAGACTCTGTCTATCAAGTCATCTCTTTTATATCATCTCTCACTCCTTTCCCACCTCCTAACTTCTCTCTCCCAAACTTCCCCCAACTCATCACTTTTAGATATTATCTACTGCTGTTTATCACACCATGGCAGCTTTCTTACACCTGCCTTTCCTGCATCCTGTTCTCATAATTGTATCTCATTTGGGAGCTAAATCTACATTCAGTATTTTCATTTTTATAATAATGTATGTTTTTTTAACTGCAGATCAAGTAGTACCCTCCAATTCCACATCCTTTCTTTTTTTTAAATTAATTAGTTTCTGGCTGCGTTGGGTCTTCGTTGCTCTGCGCAGGTTTTCTCTAGTTGTGGTGAGCTGGGGCTACTCTTCGTTGCGGTGTGCCGGCTTCTCATTGCGGTGGCTTCTCTTGTTGCAGAGCACGGGCTTAGTTGCTCATTGCTTAGTTGTTTCAGTAGTTGTGGCACACGGGCTCGGTAGTTGTGGCTCATAGGCTCTAGAGTGCAGGTTCTAGTTGTGGCGCACGGGCTTAGCTGCCCTGCGGCATGAGGGATCTTCCTGGACCAGGCCTTGAATCCGTGTCCCCTGCATTGGCAGGTGGGTTCTTAACCACTGTGCCACCAGGGAAGTCCTCCTCGTCCTTTCTAATACAACTTTGTGTTTTTCTGTAATTTACAAATTGCTTCGTTTTTTCATTTGCTTGCTTTTCTTAAAAGTCTGACCAAGTCTTTTAACATCTTTCAACAGCTCTGTGATCTCCTTTTAATACAGTCTCCCCCAGGTTCAAATCCATCAGGTATTTTACCAGTTTTTTCATTTTCCCTGAGCCCTGGGGAGATCTCTCCTGGCCTCCTCTCCTCTCTAGTCTACACTGGTTGCTCCCAGCCCTGTAGCACAGCTATCATCCTGGGGCTTCCCTTCTTCACCACCAGTTTTAGAATTCCCCCGTTTGTCTCCTGTGTTGGACTCTGTTTCCCAGATCCTTTCCTCTTTCTTGAGTTACTCTCTCATCTTAGTGGAACACGATTTTCCATAGCTTTCTGAATTTTTTGAGTGTTTGTAGGTCTGCACATGTCTTTATTCCACCCTTGCACTTGACTGATAGTCTGGCTGGATGTATCAGTCAGGATGGGCTATGTTATGCTGAGGTAACAAACATCTCCAAAAATCTCAGTGTCTTAAAACAATAAAGCATTTTTTTAATAGCAGCTTTACTAAGATATAATTCACATACCATAAATTCAGTCTTTTAAACAGTACTGTTCAGGTTTTTAGTATATTCACAAGGTTGTGCAACTGTCATCACTATCTAATTCCAGAACATTTCATCACCCTGAAAAGAAACCTCATATTCATTAGCAGTCTCTTCCCATTTCCCCCTTCCCATAGCCCCTGGAAACCATGAATCCACTTTGTCTCTATAGATTTGCTATTCTGACATTTCATATGAATGGAATCATATAATATGTGGCCTTTGTGTCTGGCTTCTTTCACTTAGCATAATGTTTTCAAGGTTCATCCGTTTTGTAACATGTATCAGTACATTTGACCACCCCGAATCCATGAGTTCCACATCCATGGATTCAACCAACTGCAGATGGAAAATATTAAAAAACAAAAATTCCATAAAGTTCCCAGAAGCAAAACTTGAATTTTCTGTGCATCAGCAACTATTTACATAACATTTACCTTGTATTAGGAATTATAAGTAATCTAGTGATGATTTAAAGTATTTGAGAGGATGTGTGTAGGTTATATGCAAATACTACACTGTTTTATGTAAAGGATTTGAGCATCTGTGGATTTTGGTATCCAAGGGGGGTCCTGGAACCAATCTGGATACCAGGTGACAACTGTACATCATTCCCTTTTATGAGCTGATACATCCCTTGTATGGATATACCACATTTTATTTATCCATTCATCAGTTGATGGACATTTAGGTTGTTAACATTTTGGGGTTATTATGAATAATGCTGCTGTGAACATTTGTGTACTTGTTATGTGTACATATGTTTTCAATTCTCTTGAGTATATATGTAGGAGTGGAATTGCTGGGTCATATGGTAACTCTATGCTTAACATTCTGAGGAGCTGCCAGACTGTTTTCCAAAGAGGTCGCACCATCTTACCATCCAATCAGCGATGTACAAGGGTTTCAATTTCTCCATGTACTTGCCAACACTTTTTATCACATTTTTTGTTGTCACCATTGATTTTTTTAGACATCCTAGTGGGTGTGAAGTGGTAAAGATTTATTTTTCTTCTTGAACCACGTTTCTTGCCTTGGTGTCCCACTGTCAGTCAGTCAACCAACTGATCGGTCATCAATCAGTCAACACAGGATCCATTCCCTATATCCTGGCTATGTTCTCTGAAGGATACAAAGAAGGGTAACATCCCCCACTTTAGGATCTACTCTCTCTTTACAAAACACAGAGGAAAGTTAACTCAAAGCAATCTATGGTCAGTACCAGAATTCTTACTGGGGCATCTGGGGCCTTTTAGGGTCTGAGTTATGTCTGCCTCTCCAACCTCATCTCTCTCCACTTATTGACCACTGCTTCCTAGCTACACTGTTCTTGCCACTTTTTTTTTTTTTTTTTAAATATTCTAAAGCTGTTTTCTGCCCCAGAGCCTTTGTCTTTGCTGTTCCTTCTCCTGGAGAGCTTCTCACCCACCATCTACCATGCTACCGTCTTCTCTTCCTTTGGTTTCAGCTTTAAGGTCACCTTCCCAGGGACACCCACCCCATCACCCAAGCCAAGGCTGGCTTGCTGTTCTATGTGCTCAGATCACCATCCACTTTTCCTTATTGCAGTAGACATGGTGGGGAATGGAGCTGTGAGGAGGTTCTGAAGCCAGGCTGCCTGGTTCCAGTTCTGCCTTTGATACTTACTAGCTGTGTAACCTTAGGCAAAATACTTGACTTCTATGGATATGACTATAATAGAACCTAGCATATAAAGTCACTGAGAGGATTAAATAAAGTAGGTTATTTATGTTACTTACAACTTGATTGGCATTCTCTAAATACCAGACCTTACTATCACAATTATAAATTAAACAGTTTTTTTTAAATTGAAGTATAGTTGATTTACAATGCTATGTTTGTTTCTGGTGTACAGCAAAGTGATTCAGTTATACACACACACACATATATGTATATATGTTCTTTTTCATATTCTTTTCCATTATAGTTTATTTAAAGATATTGAGTACAGTTCACTGTGCTATACAGTAGGACCTTACTGTTTACTTTTTTTTTTGCGGTACGCAGGCCTCTCACTTTTGTGGCCTCTCCCGTTGCGGAGCACAGGCTCCGGACGCACAGGCTCAGCTGCCATGGCTCACGGGCTTAGCCGCTCTGCAGCATGTGGGATCTTCCCGGACCGGGGCACGAACCCGTGTCCCCTGCATCGTCAGGCGGACTCTCAACCACTGCGCCACCAGGGAAGCCCCTGTTTACCTATTTTATATATAGTAGTTTGTATCTGCTAATCCCAAACTCCTAATTTATCCCCCTCCCCGCTTTCCCCTTTGGTAACCATGAGTTTGTTTTCTACGTCTGTAAGTCTGTTTCTTTAAAATTTATTTATTTATTTATGGCTGTGTGGGGTCTTCGTTTCTGTGCGAGGGCTTTCTCTAGTTGCAGCGAGCGGGGGCCACTCTTCATCGCGGTGCGCGGGCCTCTCTTGTTGCGGAGCACAGGCTCAGTAGTTGTGGCGCATGGGCTTTGTTACAACGCGGCATGTGGGATCTTCCCAGACCAGGGCTTGAACCCGTGTCCCCTGCATTGGCAGGCGGATTCTCAACCACTGCGCCACCAGGGAAGCCTCTGTAAGTTTCTTAAACAGTTATTTACATAGATTTGAAAAGAAGGCAACTATACTCCAATAAAAATTAATTAAAGAAAAGAAGTATGCCAGCCACCCGGCAAAGCAACAATGCGGGGAAGCGAGAACAGGGGCTGCAGGAGCCAGCCTCCTCCCTCGCCCTAGTTTTCCCTGCTGAAGATGCAAGAGGCCCGAACTCCGGACTCTGCGCTGTCTTGCCTGCGAGACCCGCTCGCGTTCTGGGCTCTTCTCTTCCCCCGCAGCTATATCCGTTCCGGGTTTTGCGGCTCACCGCCCCTCCCTTCCCAGGCTGTAATCCACTTCCGCGTTTTGTTCGGTGCCCGGGGCGCCGGGGCTTGGAGGCGGTAATGCGCAAGCGCACAGGAATCCGGCCAGGGCTGAGCGCGCGGCCGGAAGGTTGCGGGTGAGGGAAGGGTCGGCCCCGGCGGGGGTGGCGGGCCCGGGGTGGGGTCGAGGCCCGGGTCGGTGTGGGCGGGGGTCTCGGTGAGGACCTCCGGGCTCCCAGGGCGCGCGGGGACCGGGCGGCCTGGGTCGGACGGCCGTGTGGGGCCGGGGGCGGGCTCGGGCCGCCGTGACGCGGGCGCTGCGCGGGGCCGGGGTGGGCGGGAGGCGGCTCCTCCTCGTCGTGAACTCTCGGTGACCTTGGCTAAGTCACTCCATCCCCCTGAACCGGCGCCTCCGTCTGTAACGTGCGAATCACAGGCCCTGGTTACCAGCTGGGGCGGTTTTGAGGCTCGGTGGCTGGACCCCCGAAGGGTACCTGGAGCGGAGGGCGGTTCCCCAGGGACCACCCCGGCCTCGGTGAGGGAGAGGGGTCTTTCTCGCATAGCATTGTTACAGATTTTGGGGAGGAGCTCTCACCTGTATATTTTTAAAACTCCAGAACATTATGAAGTCGTTGCAAAACTTTTGTTTAACACAAACGAGACGTCAGGGGCTTCCGTGAGGCCCACGTTAAGCAGCTGTTCCTGGGATGCTCACGCTACTGCTGGAGACGGCTATGGGAAGCTTTCGAAATGGTGTGCAGCCGTAGAGACCCTTAGCTTCAGAATTATTAGTATTTGTAATTCTTCTTGTTTGCCAAAACCCGTCCCGCCCACGTAGGAAATTAGGGCGCTGGCCAAGCAAGTTTAGTATCTGCCTTGGTGAACATTGGAGTCCCTCGGCTTTGCAGTGGACCAAATTGTAGAGATTGAGGATGGAGGTGGTGCTATAGCCTTTTTTGGTGGTGGAGTGGGATCTCAGGAGCCCTCCCTACGTGGGCAAGGGTCTGTAGTGTGATGGATACTCAATGACGAATGCTAGAAGGTCACAAAAGAAGCCTGTTAGATGTTCTAGGTTGGAAGAAATTCTGAGCATTTGAATTGACTTAAACTGGAACTTTTCACTGCAGGTGACTAGCATGCAGGTACCCGTTCTCTGACTTGCTACCCCTCTTCTGACATGGCCCACCGCGGTGGGGAGAGGGACTTCCAGACGTCAGCACGGCGCATGGGCACCTCGCTGCTCTTCCAGCTTTCGGTGCATGAGCGGGAGCTGGACCTGGTGTTTCTGGATCATAGCTATGCCAAGCCGTGGAGTGCCCACCCAGATGCCAGTAGTGCCCGCCCCACCCGCATGCTCTTTGTTACTCCCCGGAGGCAGCACGAAAGTACCATGTGAGTTTGGGCTTCTCTCCTAAGGGTGGCCATTGCCCTAACTGGGCAGTGATCAGATTTGGAGATTAGAGCGGATTTTACTGTGGGAGATGGTAAAGGGGGGGTGGGGCTTGGATGTTTAATTCAGGCATCACTGTTAAACATCGTGAGGTTATCAGGCCTATATGTGGACACCTACATCAAGACATCTAATGAGTTAGGAAAGCAAGATGTTCAAAGGAAAGCAAACAACTTAGATAACAGGACTTGTCTGGGAAGAGAAATTGAAGAGGATTGTTTCAACTGTGAAGAAAAAGACTGAAGAGTTGACTTTTAAACATTGCCACCTAGGATTAGACTCATTCCTTTAGTCCAGTGATCTGGCTCCAACACTGGCAGCAATAACCTTTTTACAGTAATTCGATTTGCTTTTCCTGGCTTCACCTGGAAAGTTGAGGAGCATATGCCCCAGGACCTTGCTTTCTGTCTTAGCTTGTTACAGAACTGTCACCATGGGTTGATCTTAACCCTTCCTAGGTCTGGTTACATATTCAGCCCGCCTACATTATAGGGTAAGGACTTTTTAATAAATTTACCATGTAATATGTGATAGAATTACCTTTGGCCTAAATAAACTCATTTAGCAGTTCTTTTGACCTTTAAGGTGTTCTGATTACTGGTGTTTCAAGATTTGTTGATATATTCTATTTTGATGCTTAAATCATGCCCTTAATAATTTTATAAACTTTTATTGGGAAGAGGTTTTTTTGTTTGTTTGTTTTAATCTGACCTGATGTTTAATCTTTCCCCTGGCACAGGTTTTAGGTTTGTTGGAGAATAGAGATCTCGTGTTTTGCTTTTTTAGATCCCCCAGTGAGCCTTAATGAGCTAGAAGTACCATGATGTGTGTGTTCAACACGTGTAGAATAGTGGTTTTTATTTCTTTTCCCAGTGAGGGCAGCATTTTGTTGGCCTGCTTTGAATGTACAGGGCATGGGGTCTGTGACTTGAGGGAATAATCCAGCATAATCCTGATGCTTCTGGCCTAGGGCATAACTGAAGAGCTCTTTTAAATAGAATTTGAGGTCTTTCTCTTAGTTATGTAATAGCTTCTTGATATTGAGACTCCTGTGTTCATATCTCATGATATTTTCTTAAAGTGAGATTTTGTGGATTTGGTCATTTCAGTACTCAGAAAATTATGTCCTTTTATAGACTGGCTCCACATATTGGCCCTGAAAGTGGGAGTTTGGCATGTTTTAGGAACTCTTTTCAGGCCATTGGGTCCAGAATGTGGTTGCAATGGGGGTGTAAGTGGGAGCTAAGGGAGAAGTTGGCAGAGGCTACCTCATGTAGGAATTTGATCCTAAGAGTTGGTAAGAAGTCATTGAAGGATTTTAAGCTAGAGATTGGATTTTTATTTGAAAAGATCACTCTGAGTTTTTGTTGAATAGATTATAGTGCAGGAGTGGAGTAGATAAGACCTGCTAGGAGACCATTGCAGTGGTTGGGGCCAGATATCATGAGCCTGATGGAGCAGGAATAGTAACAGGTGGAGAAAAACGGTTGGCCTTGAGGTGTATTTTGTAGGTCCATCCAACATGCCCTGCTGTAGTGAATTGGAAGGAGTAGCCAGGGTTAAGGGGAAAGGCAACATTCGGATGACTCTTAGATTTCTGGCTTGAGCAGCTGGGTGGTGCCATGAGTCGGGGAAGGCTTGGGGAAGATGTGGTTGGAATGGTGAAATCAGGAGTTCTATTTTAGGAAGACAAGTCTAAGTATCTTGTCCAATGTCTGGTCCACAGAAGATAATCAGCTCTTTCACCCACCACCAAATCTAGCTGCACATTATTTCACTTCATTTCATAATGGTGTAATTATTCCAGCCATTGGGAATGGATACAATAACATCCTTGAGGTCAAAAAGTTAAAGTGATGTTCGGTAGATAGCCAGTGGGCCAGTTTGATTGACATTGGATTTTGGGTGACAAAGTTGGTGCAGTGAAGGACCCTCATGGCACTAGGATTTCTTTAACATTTTAAAGTATGAAAGATCCTTCAGGTATCCACTTATGTTTGTTTCTGTTGTAGGCTCCTTACAGAGTGAGTAAGCTAAGGCGTCTGCATTCCAGGTGATCTGTCTTAGACAATCATAGGCTTTTATAGCATATCATTAACTACCAGTTGACTTGCTAAGGAAAGGGCAAGTTTGTATGAATTTATTTAAAACTCTAGACCAACACCGCCCGACAGAACTCTGTAGTGATAGAAATGTTCTATATCTGTTCTGTCCAACATGGTAGCCTTAGGCAGATGTGTCTGTTGAGCACTTGAAATGTGGCTTGTGTGACTGAGGAACTGAATTTTTAATTCTGTTTATTTATTTATTTATTTAGGCCACGCTGCACAGCTTCAGCTGTGGGATCTTAGTTCCCCAACCAGAAAATGAACCCAGGCCCTCGGCAGTGAAAGTGCAGAGTCCTAACCACTGGACCACCAGGGAATTCCCTCTAATTTTTATTAATTTAAATAGTTCCACGTGGCTTATACCTACTGTATTGGAAAGCACGTTTAGGCAATCAACTATATGCTTAGGGAATATATTTGTCCTTTTAAAAAAAATAGCTCTTTGTCATTTTTGCATAGGTTCATTTTAAAACAACTTTGTGTTCCCCCAGCACATACCAGCATGTCAGAGGGCAGAGATCTAGACAAGCGTGGGAAAGATGACTTTGGATCATAATTTTCTTGTGGATATAATATGCTTATGCATACTTTAAAGCTGATTAGGGACTTACCTGGCGGTCCAGTTGTTAAGACTCCCCGCTTCCAATGCAGGAGGCGCGGGTTCGATCCCTGATCGGGGAACTAAGATGCCGCACGGCGCAGCCAAAACAAATAAATAAATAAAAGCTGATTATATTAAAGAGACATTTTTGGCAACCAGATGATCGTTAAATACCTGTGTTGTGTGAAGTACGTGTGGCTGGTCCTATTTCCTCACTTCTTTACAGCGAGTCAGATGTCCCAATAGATGTGGAGACAGTCACGTCAACCCCTGTGCCACTTTATGACAATCAGAAGGCACGCAGCGTGATGAATGAGTGTGAACGGCATGTCATCTTCGCCAGGACCGATGCGGATGCACCTCCCCCTCCAGAGGACTGGGAGGAGCATGTCAACAGGTAGGCTGCTTCTGAGAAGACCGGGCACTCCAGGGTTAGTAGTCACCGCAGTGTAAATGTGTATCATTTTCACTGAAACACATTTATTAGGAGCTTATTTCATCTGTAGCCACACGAGTCAGAATGTTCTCCTGTCTCTGCATGATAACTCTCAGCTCACTGTGCGGTGAGCTTCTTGGGAGGAGAGCTTGTATCTCAGCCATCTTTCCATCCCTGACACCTAGGACATTGCCTGGCACATAGTAGGCATATAGTAAATGTTGATTGAACAAATAAATGAGTTAAATTTGCTAGGTATGCCTTGCTCTCTAGCATATATAGTACATGTTATGTTATGTACTAACATACGTGTATGTCTGAGTTACCCAGACTGCTAGAAAAAGAAACCCTGTTAAATAAATGTCCATTTGTATGACACTGTATTTACATTGTCTGTAATTAGGGTAGTGAAAACGTTCTGGAGTCGTACGAAAAGCTAACAGATGTTTGATTTGAGTGGCTTTTAAAAATAGATTTGTAGGGCTTCCCTGGTGGTGCAGGGGTTGAGAGTCCGCCTGCCGATGCAGGGGACACGGGTTCATGCCCCAGTCCGGGAAGATCCCACATGCCGCGGAGCGGCTGGACCCATGAGCTATGGCCGCTGAGCCTGCGCGCCCGGAGCCTGTGCTCCACAATGGGAGTGGCCACGACAGTGAGAGGCCCGTGTACCGCAAAAAAAAAAAAAAAAAAATAGATTTGTAGTCTGTGGTTTTGGGGGAACACTTCACCCCACTTTGATGAGTTTGCTGCCTAGTTTTTTCTCTTACAGCCTACTCACCGTGGGGACCCAGCACTCTTCTTTAGGTCATTTGTTGTTCATTTGGCAGATATTTATTTATCTTTTATTTATTACATAAAACTTTATGAGGATAAAATTTACGTACCATACAATTCACCTATTTAATGTGTACAATCAGTGGTTTTTAGTATATTCATCCCCACAGTCAATTTGATGAACATTTTCCTTAACCCCAAAAGAAACTCCATACCCATTAGCAGTCACTTCCCATTTCCTCCCAACCCCTCCAGCACCTAGCAACCACCAGTCTACTTTCTGTCTCTCTAAATTTGCCTTTTGCAAACATTTTATATAGATGGAATCATACAGAACGTGGTCTTTTGTGACTGGATTCTTTCACTTCGCATAATGTTTTCAAGATTCATCCATGTTGATGCATGTGTCAATATTTCATTCCCTTTTAATGCTGAATGATATTCTATGGTATGGACGTACCACATTTTGTTTATCCATTCATCTGTTGATGGATATTTGGGTTGCTAACACTTTTTGGCTATTACGAATAATGTCACTTTGAATGTTCATATACTTGTTTTTTAAAAAATAAATGTATTTATTTATTTATTTTTGGCTGCGTTGGGTCTTCGTTGCTGCCGCGGGCTTTCTCTAGTTGTGGTGAGTGGGGGCTATTCTTCTTTGCGGTGTGTGGGCTTCTCATTGTGCTGGCTTCTCTTGTTGCGGAGCACGGGCTCTAGGCAAACGGGCTTCAGTAGTCTTGGCATGCGGGCTCAGTAGTTGTGGCTCGAGGGCTCTAGAGCTCAGGCTCAGTAGTCGTGGCGCATGGGCTTAGTTGCTCCGCAGCATGTGGGATCTTCCTGGACCAGGGCTCGAACCCGTGTCCCCTGCATTGACAGATGGATTCTTAACCACTGGCCCACCAGGGAAGTCCCCATATACTTGTTTTTGTGTGGACATACGTTTTCATTTCTCTTGCATATATATCTAGGAGTGGAATTACTGGATCATATGATTACTCTGTCTAACTTGTGAGGAATTTTCAGATTGTTCTCCAAAAGGGCTACATCATTTTACATTCCCACCAGCGGTGTATGAGAGTTCCAGTTTCTCCACATCTTTGGCAACACTTGTTTTTAATCTGTCTTTTTCTTATTATGACCGTTCTAGTGGGTATGAAGTGACATCTCATTGTGGTTTTAATTTGCATTTCCCTCATGGCTCTCTCTATATGTATTTACCTACTAAGGGAGTGTTAAGATCTTTATATCAGGGGTTGGTAAGTGGTAAACTTGCCATAATGTTGGAGAGCTCTTACTTTATAATAATGGAAGAAAAAGAAGTAATTTGATAGCAGGAAGGGTAGGAAAGTTTGAGGCTAATTGGCATGGTTTATGAGTTTGGCTGGAAGCAGGGAATGAGACTGAGCTGGTGTGCTTATGTGATCAGGATAGTAGCTGTTGAAGGAGGAGCAGTTCTGCACCTTGGCTGAAGAGCTTTTGCAGAAGTTGTTCGGGGTCTTCAATTGGAATTAATGTTGTGCCCTAAGAAGGGGAAATGCTCTCTAGAGCTTCAGATAAAGAGGAAAACTGCTGTGAATGAAGATCAGCTACTAGAGTATTACCGGAGTCAGTGAATTCAGGAAAGTAGTTTATCACCATTGTTACAGTTAATAATACTAAAAATACTGACTATGGTAGTAACAAAAAAGAACTACCATTTTTTGAGTGCTTTCTAGGTGCCAGGCATTGTGCCAAGCGCTTCATATGCATTCTCTCTTTTAAATCTCACAACTCTCCTAGGCATATCCCTTCTTCATCTCTGTTTTACAAATGAAGAAACCGAGCTCAGGGAGTTGAAGAAACCTTAGGAAGTAGTGGAGCAAGGATTTGTTTAAAGCGAGCAGTCTGACTCTGGAGCCCAGTGTTCTCAACTACTATACCTTCTCTTTAAGGGTAGTAAAAAGAGAGACCAGTTAGTTATGGCTGAACAAGGTGGCCTCACACTTATGTGTCCTTTATGGTGTTGGTTGCCTTGTCCTCAGTTTGCAGTTTCAGAAACTGCATGGGAGAATTGCATGAATTTTTCGATCAGTTCGCCCATGGTCATGATCAGAAGGTTTGGGGGGGACTCTTCATGTTTACCAAAGTCATCAGAGACTTAATAATACATCTGAATACCAGTTTCTTAATTTATAAGGAGAGATACAACTGCAAGGCAGATGAGACACTGGGGTGGCCTGGCCCAGAGCATTGATTCTCAGTAGGAGAATCTGGGAAGCTATTCTGTTTGTGCAGTGGATGGCGAGTGGACAGTCTGCACAGGAGGTGCCCTCCTTCAACAAGGTAGCTGGATGCACCCATCTTTCCTCGAAGCAAGATGGGCCCACAGAGTTAGGCCAGGGCACACCTCCACCTGCCCAGTCCGGCAGAGAAACACTGACAGATTCTAATCTTTGGCTTGTCTTTCTCCATGTGGACCTCCATCCCTGTGTTATGACATTGCCACAGATTGATATGATTAATTAGCGCTCAGTTTATCTCAGATTATTTGTCTTTTAGTGTCTGATGAGATTTTGGAGGCGTCCTTCTCCCATTAGCAACAGGCTTACAAACCATCTCTTCAGGTAGGTTACTTTTGCACACAGTTAATTTCATTATTTGATGGTACTTACTGACTTCAATTTCAGAGGTCACCACTTTATGACCTTGTCCCCAAGTTCTGGATCTGTAGCCTGTTTGGAGGTTGCAGTTAGTTCTCTCTGCTTGATTGTAATCATCTTGTTGCCATTCTTTCCCTTGATTTGATTGTTAAATTGCTGCTTCTTTTCTTCCTGTATAAAATCATGTAAAATTACAGTTTCCCACATCAAGAACTCATGGACTATATAGGACAGCTCCCTAGAAATCTGTTTTTCCTCAGAGAGATTACTGACCTCTCTTATCAGTGGATTCAGAAACTTAATTTTCTTTTTTAGTGCCCTATTTCACCCTCTTGAATTATTTTAGTAGCAACTGCCTTCAGATAACTTTCTATGTTTAGAAAATGAAGGCCCCCCCACCCAGCCCGAACTGACTCTGAGTTTCTCTAGTAATGCCTGATATTTCATGAAGCAGTTTAATATCCCTCTCTTCTTGATTTAATTGTCTAGATCAGGGGTTGGCAAACTATGGCCTATGCGCCAAATCCGGCCCATTGCTTATTTTTGTATGGCCCATGAGCTAAGAATGGTTTTTACATTTTTAAGTGGTTGAAAAAAAATTTTAAAAAGACACAAGAAATTCAAATTTCAGTGTCCATAAATACAATTTTATTGGAACACAGTCATGCCCACTCATTTAGGTATTGTCTGTAGCTGCTTTTGCACTACAGCTGTGGAGTTGCATAGCTGTGATGGAAACCATATGACACACAAACTCTAAAATATTTACTATCCAGTCCGTTATAGAAGAAGTTTGCCGACCTCTGGTCTAGATTGCGTTCTTGTGTCTGCATGCCAAAATCGTGTGACCTGGAGAACCTTTGAAAATGTTATACATTTGCTGGTGTAGTAATGTTTCCCCAAGAAGTTGGACCAGCTTTTTCCCCCAGATGTTTGTCAAATGCCAAGTTTAATTAGATGAACAGCTTTTCAAAGACATTTAACAAAATACTGCTGACATATGATACTTTGGGGCATTGCTCTCAAATGGATTTTAGGACGTTGTCAACATTTCAGTAAAAGAATCTAGTGTCCTAAAGCAGGTTGTCTTATCTTAGAAATCAGAACTTCTGAATTCAATTGAAAAAAATTCTTCTTTTCTAAATTTGCTCTAATTATGTCTCTCAATATTGTATGTATCTATGTGTTAATCTCAGATGGATGTTTGAAATTTTGAGTTCAAGATCTTGGAGTTGTTTATTTTCCCTCCCTCTCCCTTCCTCTCTCCCTGCCTCTCTCTGTCCCTGTCATTCCTCTCTTCCTTTCTCCTGGTGTTTAAGCAAAGAATTTTATAATCTGAAAAAGTAAGTGTGACCTTTTTCTTCTCTCTGATGTTCTTTCTCTCTCTCTGCTTGCCTTCTGGTTTAAAAAAAAAAAATCCTTTAGACATTTTAATATTGAATTAGTATCAGAGAAAGAATTACCTTTGAAAATATCAGGTTCTGGGACTGATGTGACTTTTTGGCTGCTTTGGATAAGAGGAGCCAGAAGTCAGAATGTCATTTG